CTTCAATGATATCTGGAATCTGGAACGTCACGGAAAGGGGGTTTGGATGACAAGCGTAAGGGCTATGATTTTGGCACGCCTAGAGGGTGCGAACTCTTTAGTCTTGCTTTGGAAAGAGACACCACGTTGTTATTGTGACTTCAATGATATCTGGAATGTGGAACGTTACGGTAGGGGGAACGTGACTTGAAAGGACCGTCTGGTGAAATTTGAAGTACGCTGACTCACTGAAAGTATCGGGGAAGCATGAGTGTTGCAGGTGATCATCTGCAGGCGATTTGATGCAGATCAATGGTTTGCCTAGATGGATGGATATATGCCTTAATGGATTAATGGTGAGGTGGAGAAGGGTAACAGTGGGGTTGAACTTCACTAGAAGAGGTACGTGGGGGACGCGCAATCAAACAATCAGGTGCAGTTCAGCTCTGTGAATCTCAAGTCATATATGAGCAACCATTTTCAGTGCGAATAGACGGTGGACGACGCGTGGATCGTTAATGAAGTGATGCGGTCGCATTTGGGATAAGGCACAAGATGGCGAAGAGGTTTTCAGATGGTCGACCGCGTCGCGCCTGAGAAAGCACACAGGACGTCAAGAGGTTTTCCTATTCCCCCATGCTGCGGCTCAAGAAGGTGGGTGATGATGGGGTGAATACTCTCGTCAAGCGGCGTGGGTCATCAGGGGAGAGACTTTGCCTTGGCTTCTGCGCAGCGACAGCTTTCGTTGAAGTGCCTCTCAGCAATCTGGAACTCTATGTGGAAAAGGAGTCTGGGAAGGGCGGCAAATCTTCAATTGCCATGTTCTTCTTTTTGTACATAATGTGGTTGGAAAGTGTGGTCCCCACGAGTCGGTGGCTCTTTTTATTCTTCAAAAAAGCTCGTGTGTGATGCGTAAGATTGCGTGTGAGTCGGCGTGATGGATTTCAAAGTTGAATGGGTATTTCTGATTTTATGCGCGTGCGGCGTTATGCACAGACATAAGTTGTTGCATTTGGTAGGTTTCTCCATGGCCACCACCCCCAAATTGCAGATGGTCTAAGATCCTGGTACATATTCTGAGTGTAAAGAACTCCACTCTCAGCTCATGTATGTGAACAGACACAGGTTGTTGCATCTTTCAGATTCTTCGACGTCCCATGCCGAATTGCAGATGGTGCAAAATGCTGCAAATAATTTAATAATCCGAGGAAATAACTCTGTGCTGTATACGGCTCAAATTTTATGATGCTTCTTTCTTTTCAGTACTTGGAAGTGGCGAATTTGTGCTGACGGTTTCTTTCCTCCAAATTGCAGGAGGTACTCGCAGTTTTGTACCTCTTGCCGGTACCCTTCAGTTGATGCTAGGCCCAGAAAACTCGGCAAATGACTGGAGAAGGAGATCCAGCCTGCAAATCTCAATCTCCTTTAAGCTCTTTGAAAAAAAAAAAAAAAAGAAAGGATATCCAGCTAGGGATTCCGTTTTCTGCTAGACCCCAGGCCTTCAAGGGGATATGAAAAGACCTTTTTACCTTTTGATGACACCGAAGCCAACCTTGCGGGACAAATAGACCTCGCAGATCTATAAGTTGGCTGAAGGTGCATTAGGGTATGCTGGGCACTTCAAAGAGAGGGGGGGGGGGGGGGGGGGGGGGGGGGGGGGGGGAGGGTTGGATTTCAGATCTAGAGGGGCAGGCACAGAGTAAATCACATCTAGTTGGGGGGGAGGAGGAGGGAATTTCAGCTGCGTGTGGCTGGCTTTGATACTCTGATTTGTAATGGTCTGTGTTGCTCCTTGGTTACGTGACCGCGTTGGCTCTTCGATTTGCACTCAAAACAAATGTGTGCCCTAAAAGCATTGCCTTTGAGTTCGCAAAGTCAAATAAATCCCTCCCTAACTTTTTCCTTGAAATCACAATGTCACCTCAGTTTCTTCGCAAAACCTTTCCTTCTTCCCCCTCAAGTTTTCCTCGAGTTCACACCGGTGGCTCAACTGTGGTGGTGTGATTACGTGTCATGGTATCCATGCATGAATGGTGACTCAGTGAATGGCTATGCAGGAAGTTGTTCTGGATTGACATTGTGTGTCGTGGACAAAGGCCGCAATGGGTGTCGTGCGACTTTTGGCCAGCATGAGAATGTATGATGATTCTATGGTCCTAAGTTCTACAGAATTGATGGTGCACAGCCACTTTACGCGAATGACAAGTCGTGGGGTGGCTGTGTACCATCATTCTGTCATTGATACAAACGCTGACAGGAAGATCTATCGATGCGTGAAAACACTTTCAAATCGCTTGTGGATGGGTTGCCCTTGACTACACACACTCACAACATGTGCACCGGAACACTTTAAGTAGGTGGTGTTCTTGGTGTTGTTGCAGAGGTCTCATGGCGTAAGGCATGTCCTGGCCTATGGGGTACTCGTGGGCGGGCTTTAGAGGGCTTGACATGCAATACATTTGTGGACGAGTGGTTTTTGACAAAACACACACACACACACACACACACACACACACACACACACGCACACACACCCGCACACACACACGAGAAGAGATTAACCGGGCCCCCATTTTTCAGGAGTCCCGGGGGCTGAGCTCTTTTCGAGGTTGCAAACTTGTTGTCGTCCACAGCGCGATCTAGGAGGTGCAGTGCTTATACATTGGCGTGGTAGGACTGTCAGGCCTTAGGTTTGGAATTCTTTTTCTTGAATTTTGGTGATGGTATACTCTGGGTTATGGCCGTCTTCGGCGACAAATTGCAGGTTGATCGTCATCAATTCTGGCCTGGCCCCTTTTCAGTTGCGAACGTGCAGACAAGTGTGCGGGCCCTTGCTCCGTAGTCACTCAAATGGGGGCAACCTTGCGGCCATTTCAATTCTCAAAGGATGTGGATGGATCTGAGGATGGTGTTTGATGGTGCTCGTGCAACACGCGTCAAATGATCGTAGTCGCGGATCAGCATGCCGCGGTGAATATGTACTCAGGCTTTGATACACACCGCCCGTCGCACCATTGGAATTTCGTTTGCCCGAAATCGTCTCTATGATAAACCAATGACTTTGATACGTTACGCACGTAAAGTGTGCAGCATGTTTTTCGCATCGTTGATCATAGAGAATATCACAGTAAAATCAGTGACTGAGGTGAAGTCGAATGCGTCCCTCCTGACCAGACTGTCAAGGTTTAGCCTCCTGACGAGTCAGTGAAGTTAGATGAGACAGTCTGTCAGTCACCCCCTTTTTTTGGGGGGGGGTGGGGGGGGCACAAAAGCTCCAATCTATTCGTGGGGAGCAGCACGTGGTGGGAAACGGGACCAGCATCCCATATGAAATTACAAGCACTGAAGCACTGGGACGGATACCCAGCTTCACGTGGGAGAATCTGGGAACAAACCAAGAAGTTTTAGGAAACCTCAGTAAACTGCCAGCCTGTTAAGACTTAAAAAGTTAAAACCAGCTACCCCCCTTTTTCTGTGGAATTGTGTTTACCAAACACACGAACATGCACATAGCTCTCTGTCCTGGCAGATTTCAGTCGGTTAGGATCGGGCACAAGCATTTTGCTTGTTACGCATTGCCTAATTCTTCACCCTGCTTTAGAGCATGGGCTGTCGTCTCTTTGTGAAGGAATGTCTGTGGGACAAGTTTCTTCGGGGTGGGAATGTATCATACTTGCGGCGCATCACGTGCAGGCGAGTTGCGCACGTGTGGGGTTGATTCAAGCTGTGGTAGACAAATGTGCCCCTCCCTTCTGAAAATTGTATGTGCACAGAAAAACAAAAAATGGGGCCACATCAACAACATCGTGCTACTTGTTGGATCCAGTCCCTTTTCCGAAGGGGCCCCAGCAAAGAATCAGCGAGGGGCCCTTTTTTTGGCAGAGACGGTCATTAAATTTCGAGTTGGAGACGAGCAGGCCAGCACTATATATGCTCTGGATTGAAGTTCAGGTCTGTGGTCCAGCAGTTACGGGTTTACTGCTATTTACTACAGTAGCACTCTCTTCTTTTTGTTTTCCTTTTCTTACGTGCAGTGGTGGCCCTTAAGGGCCTCACTCTCTACCGTCTTCACCCGAATAGAACGCCCTATCATTATCGCTGCAGATGGACTGAATTCTGCGCCAAATACGGCTATGATGATTGGGTGTTCTATTTGGGTGAAGACGGCAGTCACCAATTGCACAAAAGACAAAAAATATGGCGACGTATGACATCCGTTAAAATTGGAACGATACAGAGAAGATTAGCATGGCCCCTGCGCAAGGATGACACGCATAAATGATTCCATGTTCTCGCTGAAGATTCAATCTAGTTGTGCGCATTTGGTGAGTAGTGGAGGGAAGCCCTGAAAATCAAGTGCTGAGTTAGCGAGTTAGTAACCCATAACTACTGAAACGCGGACCTGAGTTCGAATCTACATCGTATATAGATGAGTCAGTGAAACTCCGACGAAACAGTTTGTCACAGCCCTTTGTTTGTTGTCCTCTTCTCCTTCCCTCTCTGCCCTATAGTTTACCGGGCAGCTCTGTTTGACGATATATAGTCGGTGAAACTCCGACAAAACAGTTTGTCTCTCTCTCTCTCGCGCGCATTGCGCCGGTCGCACCACACATATGCGCCACAAGTATGGAATGTATGTTTGGAGTTTTGGCCACGGTATCTTCGCGAGAAGGTTCATAGAGTGTTTGCTGACCGTGTCATATCCCTGGGCTGCTGCTCTGGAGTACATGGAAGCAACGGGGAAGCTTAAAAGGTGTGCGGCGTTTGTTATAATGAGCCTGAAAAACCCCTCCTGAAAATTTAGGGGTTCTGTTAACCGCTTCTCTCTGCGTAGGCAGCCGATCCCAGTAGCATACATACAAAGTTACAAACCCAAAGAACTCTCTGCTCCATGCTGCGCTGTGATAAGTCGACCAAACTGGTGTTCAGTTCACAAGTGATGATCAGCATGCTGTGTGTCTCATTCCCTGCAACACACCTAATGCTGAACAGCCACAGGCCCCTTTTTTTTTTTTTTTTTTGTTGTTGTTGTTCGTCAGATGCGGTTTGTTCAACCAACAGTATTTGCAGGGCACTTTGTTCCGGGGTTCCAAAAGCGCTGCACTCCAATTTGTCGAACCTCCAGTGTGACATTGTTTTTTCCTTTGGCTGGCACTGCCAGCCATGGAGGTCTGGTATCCCCGAAGCCCAGTTAACGCGGGTTATCGTCAAGGGCCTGCGGCCGATGTGTGGGTCAAGCACTGGAAGTTTGAGCCCCTTAAAATAAAGGGGGGGGAAAAAAAATGATGAAATGAGTGGGGTTTCCTTTTTGTTCAAAGGGATTCTTTTTGCGGGAAAAAATACTCAGGAAAATGGAAAATTAATTTTGTTGTTGGCACTTTTTGCATCCTTGAATATATTTTGAAGAAGTCAAAGACTGAACAACAAAAACAAAAACAAAAAAAAAAGGATGATAAAGTGGGCTTTTTTTTTTCCACATTCAACTTTGATGGGTGTGTTGCCCCACATCCCTGCCTACACACACACACACACACACACACACACACAGCGAATATGACAACACACATACATACGTGTGTGTGCACATGTGTGTGTGTATGTGTGTGGGTGGGACACACTCACCCACACACATACACACACACACACACACACACATGTACGCACACGTCGTGGGGGCCAGGTTTGGGGGTGGAGAACTGTTTGGGGTAATGGGGGGTTGGTGGGCTGTTGAGGAACTTGGGGGGGGTTCGGGGCAAGTTGGGGCGGGGGGTTGAGGTTGGGAGGAAATTTTCTTTTTTCTTTCCAGTTTAATTGCTCAGGGGTTGTTTGCCAGGTGTCCGAACCCCCGCATATCCCTTGAGCTAAACCGAAAACGGCGGGAGACCCCCGTTTTCGCGGTTAACGGGAATTCAACGGGGGTTTGGGGGATTTAACGGGTTTCAATGGCAGTTAAACTGGAACCAACCCCCCCCGCTCCCCCCCCCCTCGGTTGAAAAGACACTCAAACCCTGGGGTCCTTACTCTAGTGTGTGCTGCGCCCTGCATCCCACTTGCACAAACAGGCAATTCAGAGTGGTGATCCGCGTCGTGCACCGTATTAGGAGCCATGCCTGCTGGTGCTCCTATTGGCAGCAATGACTTAGATCAGTGTCCCAAATGCTGAGCTCACAGCAAACATTCGCCAATTGGAGTGTGTGATCCATGGTAGTCCATACTTACGGAGACCGCATTCCAGCATCCTTTGGCTACCACAGATCGTTGAATTCCACCCACGGCCTCCTCTTGCCATGGGCATATGCGTTTGTGGCAAGATGGTGCCACCCATTAGTGTCCAGGTCTATAACTTCATAGAAGTGGCACTTGACCTATTGCTATAATTTTTCCAGACCCTGACAATTGTCCTTGTCGACAAGCCTTTGTACGCTGTACTA